TGAATCCGGAGTGAAATTCCTTGAACATTTTAAGAGAATACATAGTAGGTGAGGAATGCTAAATTGAGGATTACAATTAAATCAGACAATAACTCCAGTAGAACTTCATTGGGATTCGGAAAAAGAATTCCAGGACAGTTTGTCAAGTATATTTTGAGGAGAAATGTAAGGAATTTGTGAGGAGAACTGCAAATTAATTTTAAGGGAGCTTTTAATGTGAGTAGAATTACAAAGGCAAGCATGAATTTCGAAGGGAATTCTAAAATGAATCCAATGAAAATTGTGAGCATTTTTCCAAAGGGTTACTTAGTGCTAAGAATTTCAAGGTAATTCCGAGGAATTTCCTGATTAATTCCATGGGAACTTCGGGAGAATACAAAATTAACACTGAGTAGAACTTCAAGTGAATGTTGATGAAAAAAAAAACTCCTGGGCTATTCTGAGGTCTTCAGAACTACTAGAAAGTTCCCAAAATTTCCCTGAAGTTAACTAAACAGTCTTGAAGATCTTTTGTAGAAACCAGTCTGCCCGAGTAGCAGACTTTCATCACAATAAGTTACAGCAACTTGTTTATGACTGAAATAAGTCGTATATAAGTTTCTACAATTGATTTGTGACAAGCGTGCTACTAGGGTGATGCTCATAATACAAATCCTAATTTATAATTTGGGTTCAAATGACTATATCCTGGTCCTCCAAATAATCCGCGTAGACCGATAAAGTATTTAGGTCATATAATCTAAACTGTCCAGCATTTGCCTACCGCACAAGTTAGGAAAAAAATTCAATTTAGGTATGTATTGTGATACGTTTAAAATAAAAAGGCTTATCTAGGCCCATTCGGGCCTCTAATAAAACGGTATTCATTCGTTATCTTCTTCGTCACTGTAAATATCAGAATCACACAAACTCGTGCTGTCGTATTCCATGTCGTCGCAGTCTTGCTCGCCATTCATTTCCCCTTCATCTTCTACACCGCTATTCATATAATATTGTGCCACTTCCTCCATGTATTTCACATCCTTACTACCAAATGCTATACACTTAGAAATACCTAATCTTACGCGTGACGGAATCCATCTTTGACATAAAGGGTGAGACGTCATTTTTTCTAAGTGTGTACTTTTGAACCTTCATTGTGGTATGTTAGATACGATAGCTTCGGGTCGGACCATGCTAATGCCGTTGGCACTTCATCGGTCCATTCAGATTATCCGGAGAACCAGGATATGGCCACTTTACACCAAAATTTAAATTCTTTATTAAATTAGCTTTGATATCATGATTCTAAACAAACAAACAAAAAAATCGCAAGGTTCTAGAACAATTTTTATAATGTGGTCACTTTATCGGTCAATCCAGATTATCTGGAGAACCAGGATATGGCCACTACACATCAAAATTTAAATTCTTTATTAAATTCGCTTTGATCTCTTGATTCTGAACAACATAGAAAAAATCGCAAGGTTCTAGGACATTTTTTATAATGTGGCCACTTTATCGGTCAATCAGGATTATCCGGAGAACCAAGATATGGGCACTTTACACCAAAATTGAAATTCACTTTGATCTCTTGATTCTGAACAACATAGACAAAATCACAAGGTTCTTGGACATTTTTTATAATGTGGCCACTTTATCGGTCGTTCCGGATCCTCCTTTAGGCCAGTAGAGTTTTCCTGAGGGAAACAGGTACAATCGTGTCATCTGCCGCTCAAAGGTAAATACTTCAAACGAATTTGATAGCAAAGATTACATCCTCAGAAGTGTGTATTTGCTAAATTTTCTATGCGTTGCTTCCACCTTCGCTCAAGTGCAGCGCTACTATATCTGTCGCTTAGATTATGGCAAAGTTGCCAGTCTTCTTGATATAATGTCTTCGCTTATATGTAGAAACAGTGACAATTTTTCACTAATTCTCCACAAATGTATGGCTAACGTCACATTGCCATTCTGTAACTGTGTAGGGGTTAATCACATCCTGAATAAGCACAGCTTCATTTGCAAGTTATCCTCCTATGGCATAGAGTTGTCCGTGAATCAGGTAGAAGTCCTCGTCATGCAGTTGAACCGGAAACAAAAAAATAAATAGGTAGCGAAATCCTTCACGTGTTCATTAAACGGACAGCTACTCACCTTCTCAGAAGTCTGCGTTGAATACGGTGACGAAAGGTTTCCGCTGCACAGTTGAAGTCGAAAAACTCGTAAAACTCGTTGAAACGCCCAGACATGAACCGTATTGGGTCATGCAAGCTGTAGTTCGCAGCACGAGGTCCAAGATGCAGGAAACTCCTCGACCGAAGAACTCGTTCGGGTGCGTAGATTTCGAATTCAGCCAAGATTCCTGGAGAGTCGATATCACCAATAAGTACTTTCGCTGCTAATACGGCCTGACTAATCGTCCGCCTATGTTCTAGTGTTTCAAGACCCAGGAGTTGACAACGATGTTCGTACGGCGGAAGGTTCACAGGGTCATTCCAAGGAAGGTGACGAAAGGCATACTGAACAAATTTCCTTTGAACAGATTCAATCCTCGCTATCCAAACTGCTTGATACGGGCACCATACTACCGAGCTGAATTCCAAGATCGATTGCACTAGAGAGCAGTATAGAGCTTTTAGACAGGCAGGATCGCGAAACTCGTCAGCGATCTTGAAAATGAACCCGAGTTACCTGTTAGCTTTCGCAACGATGCCCGAGTAATGAAGCTTGAATGTTAAGGCGCAGTTAGTGTAATTCCTAGGTCACGAACATTGTCCACACGTTGCAGAAGTTGGTGATTTATCGTATAGTTGAATGCCACTGGTTTCAGCTTGCGATGAAATGAGATAATATTACATTTTTGTACATTCAACGTGAGATAGTTTCTTGAGCACCACTCTTCGAAAGTATCGATTAGGTGCTGAAGCCGCAAGCAATCGGCGAAGCTACGAAAAATCACATAGATCTTCACATCATCCGCGTAGAACGATCGGCAACCAGTTGTGAGGATCAGTTCGGCCTCATTCACAAAAATCGAGAATAGCAATGGTCCCAAGTTGCTACCTTGAGGAACACCGGAGCTGTTTGTAAAATAGTCCGATTGCTCTGATCCGATTCTAACACAATGTTCCCGATTGGTCAGATAGGACTTGAACCAACGAGTTAAACCCGAGGATACACCGAGTTTTTCAAGTTTAGCTAGCAGTATGGAGTGGTCAACCCGGTCGAATGCAGCCTTGAGATCTGTATATACAACGTCCACCTGCGCTCCAACTTCCATACTCCGAAGACATAAAGAAATGAACGGAGCTAGATTTGTTGAAACTGATCTCTTGGGATAAAAACCGTGTTGGTCAGGAGAAATGTAATTTCTGCAGCTAGAGAATAATGCGTCGTTGATGATGATTTCAAAAACTTTAGAGCAGGCACTGAGTGATGTGATCCCTCGGTAATTTTCGACGTTTCTCTTGTCTCCTTTCTTGTAGATCGGGAACATGAATGACGATTTCCAACGCGTAGGGAACTCCCCCTGCTGTAATGAAATATTGAACAGCTTCGAAAGCGGTGTTGCAAGCTCTGAACAGCATCGCTTCTGGATGCTTGAGGGGATCCCGTCAGGGCCAGCAGCATTAGAAAATTTCAGCTTCTTGATGGCGGATTCGACGAGGTCTACTGTAACCAAGGTAATCGAAAAATTGAAAGCATCAATGGGAGTGTCCCTCACCGCTTCAGCAACTTGGGACAACGAAGCCGTAGTGTCATTGAAAATGCTTTTGAAATGTTCTGCCAGAAGATTGCATTTCTCAAGGGAATTGCTGGCGATTCTATCACCCAGGTGAATTTCGACTGGTAGCCCCTCCTCGTTTCGTTTGGTATTCACGAATGACCAGAACTGCTTTGGATTAAGCCGTAAATTAGCCTGCACACGCCTTGTGTAGCTCTTGTAAAGAATGCGGTTATATGTGCGATATTCGTTGCTCGCTGTTGAAAATAATCGTTTGGTGAATGGGTTACGACCGTACGACCGTATTTACGGAGGGCCTTCGATCTCAGACGCTTCAAATTCCGTAGTCGAGCATTGGACCATACGGGTTTGAGAGAGGGTCTCCTCAATGGGACAGCATCAGTTATTGCCCGGCCGACGACCTCAGCGAAGTAGTTGACGGCTTCATCAATAGATGAACACGTGTCAAGGAACTGCCAATCTGCCTGGGCAAGCGAGTGACTCAGCGCGACGAAATCTGCTCTACGAAAGTCGAGCTCTTGTACATCAACAGGGGTTCTACGGTATTATTTTTTTACAACTACTTACAGCAAAAGCCATCAACGGAAGTGCGGGAACAGACCTATAAGTTCATGGAATGAAAATTGACGTTCCTTGTAAAAATGTTTAACTGTAGTCGATTTTCAAAAATCATTGTTTTCATCTTTCCTGTGTCACTCTCTATATGAAGAATTCAGCATAGCCACCAACCATGGAGAAAAATACGAACCTAGACCAGATGATTTTTTTCAATTATTAAAGTCATGCTGATGTGTTGAGCCTATAAAAAAATTCCTAAATAAAAATATTCATAACCTTATAAACCAATACATTTATTTGAGTAACATTTATTCCTTACAAAAATACGAATATACAATAACAAATCTTGAACACCTCTAATCGACCCGCACCTTTGTCGCTTGTTCAAATAATTTGGGTTTCATGGAGCAGCCTGGAGAATGGAAAGAGGATGTCCCGTTTGCACCAAACCATTATCCGCTGATATTCTGAGTAGCGGCGGCGGTGGGAGAAAAAAAAGAAGACTCCAAATGAATTTGGATGACGGCAATGACGACGGCGACGACAGTAGCAGCAGCGGGTGCGGGATTATCGAAATTGTTTGAATTTAATCGAGTGCTCTGTTGTCGTTTCTTTCTTTACCCAAGTCACGGGCTTTGTTGGCTCGCCCGGATCCAGATGGAGAAGGAAGATTTTCGGAAGCTTTTGAACCGTTTCGTTGCTCGGTGCTTTGTTCCCCCGATGAACACTAACGGAGGGATAAATGGACTTTGAAGTGATTTCATTCGTAAAATTAGAGCTGTATGAAGGATAATTGACGAGTGTTTGCTTTTGTGTAACAATCGCCAAGACTTGCGGGAATGAAATTCTATTGGTTCGCGAAATAGCTGGAACGGATACCACATCAATAACCATGCTGTTGATAGCCACCGACGTGCCGGGTCTGGGACCAAGGCAGAACGTTGGTGTTTGGTGGTTGAAACATTGGTTGCTGCCGTGGAATCGGTTGTAGCCCCTGCCACTGGTAATCGTACGAAGGTTGCTGCTGATAACCAGGTAGGTTGTATGTATTCAAGTATGTTGGTGGATAGTAATAGGATGGCTGTTGTTGCACGGGCTGTTGATTCGCGGTTGCCATCGGTTGGTAGTAATTCACGTTCACTGGATCCACATAAGATGTTTCTACGAGAGGGTTCATTGTTACTGCTACCGGCTCAATGATCAGTGGGAGCTCAGTATTGTCTTCGTATCCATCGGGAGATGGCTGAAATAGATGCTGAACAGTGAAAACAAAAACATTTGTGTCAATTAAAAATCACAATCTGAAAATTTATGAAAACCGTACCACAGTCGGTGCGGCCAGCGCCAAACAAGTAAAGGAACACAAAACAATCACAATGCGCAACATCGTCTTGACTGATTCGATTCTGACTGCTAACTGATGGAATTCAATCGCAAAGAGGCTTCTTAAATTGCACATCAATAAGTTCTATTCCTGTTTAATATACAGTGCATACTGCCACCGTCCATATACTATCAACAACTACCAACGTCATCACCCCTTCACATACATCTCGATGGATGCGGTAGCGTGCTGTTTAGTATGTCAAGATCGTTACGGCAGTGTTCGCTATTTAGGTGCACCCGGGATGCATCGCATGAGTCAGGTGGCTGATCGGGAACAATCATCCCGGTTTGATCGTGGGAGATCGGTTTAAGTATCGAAAATTTGCTACCCCTCAAAATGTGAGTCATTGCATGCGACATGAACTGAACATTAAATACTGAACAGGTGTCCACAAATTAACGGAAAGTAGTTCGACGATTGGTTATGATTCATTCTGTATTACTTGTTTTGATTTTTTTTTACCGTAGCTTCAGCGCATTTTGGGGACAATGTGGAAACGCTAATAAAAGTGCGCTATTGCGTAAATCCTTCTGGTGTCTTCGGCGCATTTGTCCATTGGTTCATAAGATACCAATACGATACAACGTAAAAGCGCACTTTTATTATGCAAAATACAATATTTGATATTATGGGAACTACTCTGCCGCTCATCGGAAGCCATTTGCGTTTTTGTCAAAACTGAGTCAAACGTGATCGCTAATATCCCTTAGGGGCTGTTCATTAACTACGTAGACAGTTTTTTTGTATTATTGACCCCCCCCCCCCCCTACGTAGACAATTGTCGATACAAAACATTTAAAAATGTTATGGGCCGTTGATAATTACCCCCCCCCCCCCTAAACTGTCTACGTAGCTTATGAACAGCCCCTTAAATCCTTTATACTGCATGAACTCAACAAATTCGTTCTGGAAAAGCTTGGAGAAATAGCCAAACAAGTTGTCCCATTACATATTTCAGACGGGACGGACTTGCCATGAGCGGCAGTACTGCCGATACCTGCTTATCAGTCCATAGTGAATGTTCGTCACTTTTGAATTAACCTCATGCTGCGTTCTTGGCAAGCCTTGTAAATGATGCCTCTTTTCTAATCGAATGAACCTAGTGCTATGTTTATAAATAGAGGGGCAGTTTCTTATTTTTGGCCTCAATAAAAAAAACACATATTCTTTTCCTTACTGGCTTTCAACGCGTCTTATGTGAACGTTTTGCCAACCCTCTTCTTAGTTTTATTTGTAGCATTGCCACAGTTATCAATTGAAGGCTTCCTATGACAACCACTGCATCACCCTGTCGAGTTGGCTAACCGACTGGGACACAGAAAATCTTGAACGTTGGTTACATTAAATCATTCCTAATGTTTCTTCGAGAACGTGGTTTAAAGGCATGGGCTTAAGTCGTGACTTCATTCGCGTGATGAGTAGACCATAGAATAAACCTCGTTGCGCAGTTTGGCAATGATGATACTGTGTTATTCATTCTAAATCCAGCCATTTTACACTTAAATAAAGCAATTGAGAATGAATTTAAGTAAAACTAAATTCATGGTAATTTCGCGGAATCAAGTAAATGAGAACGTTTCTGTTGTAATTGATGATGAGGCCACCGACAAACCGACATGACACTTAATTCTGACTTATGCCCGAAAATCGTAAACGGCTGATTTAAATGTGCAGTGATCCGTACTGTCAAAACCATAGGATTTTTTATTTAGATAAAAATAATTTGTCCAGAATATATCAGACACGAACCAATTCATAACTTTTGCATGCGGTTTCATGACTTAGCTAAATATTTCCCGCGAACACAGAGTCAGATATCAGTAGTGTGCTTTGGTCAGAAATTTTATTGTTTTTACTATAGTCATTCATGTCGGTTTGTCGGTGATGAGGCTATTGATCCTTTTCGGCAGATTAAATATATTGGCGTGATTATTGATGACAAAATTAAGCTCAATTCTCACATAGACAATTTCATCAAGAAAATTATGGAGTGTGGAATTCTATGTCGATTGAAAAACGATATAATTATTACCAGTTAAATACAGCTATATAAATCAATACTCTCTCCTCGTCCAGACTTTTGCAATTCCATTTTATGTCAGTTTTATATTACAGAACAGCTTATTGTTTTATTGTTTTATTGATGTTTTACATCAACAGGCTGGATGAAGCCCCAATGATGTTAACCTTTTTTTTCCTTGATTTGATTTCCGTCGATCTTGTTTTCCGTGGTGAGCACCAATGCTACCGACGCCAGGGAGGCAGCTTCCACACCTGGAAAATACCTATCGACCCATCAACTCATAAACCGGGGACCAACGGCTTTACTTCCCTTCCGAAGAAAGGCGTGATGATCGGAGATGTTATGCCTCAGAACATCCCGGCGGCGCCGACTGGGATTGAACCCAGGCTTGCTAGGGTGAGAGGTAATCACGCTTACCACTACACCACCAGCGCTGCTGATGTTAACCTTATCAACTATGGTAAAAAAAGATACATTCAAGCATGGTCATAACATAAAAACATTAAAAACATATTTCTTATAGTCCGTTACAGAAGAAAACTTTCGACGAAGCGCATCACGGGGAAGATGAAAGTCGAAAACAGATGCAACTCTGTTGAATGTTCTCTGCAGTCCGCAAATTGCACCGTATGCTCCATAATTTGTGCGACGAAGAGGAAGTCTAAGCATAAAGTTATTACGAAGCGATCGGGGTTTAACATTCAGTTCAATTTGCCTCAGAATAGCCTCGCAATCTGTCCTTCCTTGCATAAGTTGGCACCGGCTTTCGTAACTGGGTAATCGAAACGGATCATTCCAAGGCAATCTACGCAACGCAAAACGAAGAAATCGACGTTGCACAGATTCAATTCTCTCGGCACCGTTATTGTAGTTTGGGTTCCTGAACAATACACAATACTGAACAATCCAAACCGCTGAACAATACATCGATCGAACAAGCGAACGATAGGGAGATTTTAGACAGTAGATTTTTTTTTTAATAATTAATTTCCTCTACAATTTGGACTTCTACATCAACACATGTCAGCCAGCCTTCAGTTCAATTGGCTAAACTTGGTGAGTTTGTTCCATTTTGTAAATTTTTATCTTTTCAACCCAGTAACGTTAGGAAATCACCTTTTTATGGTACGTTACTGATATAAGATCTACCACCGAATCCTAGTCGTGACAACTTCAAACTAGGGAATCAGGTTTTTTCAGTAATGAAAGGATTACATTTTAGTGCTTGTTACTTTTCCCTTTGTCCTTCTCCTTTTCACCTCCCTCTTCTCTTTTCAGAAAGCGAGTAATGGCGCTATAGCCATAAGCCATAAAAGGCTAGGACAAGAGTGAGTGCTCATGTCCCAACCGACAGAAGAAAATGGAGCATCACTTAACTTTTCTAGCTTTGATGATTCCAACGACCAACCAATCATATAATTACCAAAATCGGAACGTACGGTACGAGATGTCCACGTTTCATCCTTTTATTGGATTCTGAAGCATCGTGTTTAAATCTTCGATTTAAACAGGCCCGATGTTTTCTGAATCATCTTGCCCTTTAAATGCTGCACAGTAGGCCTGGCCGTTTTGATATGAGTGACGCATCTTCGATGTGAAACATATATCAAATAGGCAAGAAAAACTATGGAGGTATATTCATTATTTTTCAGGATGCTTTCAAGAACTGGCTGTGTTGGTGTTAGATTAGATTAGATTAGAGTAGTTTTTTTTTAAATAATTACTCTATTTGTATAGGCTCAATCGAATAAACTTTACACAGCCGAGTTATCCTTTCCGTTATACATTATTACTGTCTTATATTTAAAGTTAAAGGAACTGGACCGAGTACTCGCAGTTGTCTCGAAGTTAGTTGAGATTTACATTTTTTTTTTGATGGGAAAGGGAAGAAGGAGGTTTGAAATGTGGTTTACGATACAAATATTTAACATGAGCTTATTTCTATTCATCTTGACAACAAACATTGAGAGAGAAAACCCCACACGTACAAAATACAAACTACGAGTGGGTTTTACACTTACAGAATTTAAGAGGCATTACATTTGACATGTTCATTCCTTTATTTAACATCGGTCTCTGTTCCACAATCTAGTGCCAATCACCGACGGACATCGATTGCCATCCATTGTGGAAGGCAACTTCCACACCTGCGTAGGATATCGCACCCATTCAAACACAGATCGGCCTTGACCAACGGCTTTACTTCCCCCTTCCGAAGGAAGACCTCGAGGAAGACCAGAGATTTTTATGACTCAGAAAAATCCCACCGACCTCGGCTGGGATTGAACCCAGATCCCATTGGGGTGAGAAAGCAATCACGCTTACCAGTACACCACCAGCGCCGGCTACATTTCACATGTTAAAGCTGTCTTTGGACAGTTGTTATCTAATAAATTTATTTTTCTTAATTGACAAATTGTTTATCTTGACGAAGTTTGCAACGGATTATTTTTTTATGGATAGCTTTCATAACGGATTTTCGGATTGCTGGATCTCAGTGAAAAATTTGCCGAGATTAATTTAACGAACGGGAATTTGGCCTAGATATCGGCTAACAAACATAAATATTGTTCAGTAAAAATAAATGCCGAGCCTGCTCGGTGGTGTCAATCTCGGTAAAAAGCTAAGTGTTTTAATTTCTCTTGAACATAGACTCATTCTGGAGTGGGTATCTTGTAATTCGTTAACAATCGACGTTTGAATGCATTGTTTGTGAATGGCTTTTATGTCTTTTTTACATGCTGCTCGAGAATGTTCTGGTGAACTAAAATCTGTGTAAATCGATTACCCACATTTGGGTTAACGATTCTTTGCTTCCTGTCAGTTGCCAATCTGGTATGTAAAGAGCGATGGCAGATGTAATCTACCTTTTCATTTATTTATTTGGTTTCTTTTAAGCTAATGGTACATTCAGCTGATATCACGTAATAAAGGCTTTCTTGACATCATATTATATTACGTGATATCAACTAAAAAATAAAATATAAATAAATAATAAAAGACGTGTTCAGAGAG